AGATTCTGACATCAAATTTTGGGGTAAAAAAGAGCGTCTTATACACCAAAAAATACAGTAATGATGCAATTTTATTTTGGATTTATTTCATTGTATAAATGTATGTAGCACGCTATGGCATATAAAGTATATATTGGTCAAATTTATATTAACTTGTCTACTGCAAGGAAAGTTGTTTTTTTGTTTTTGTTTTTTTTAACCAGCAATTTTCTTCCCTTTAAAGCCATAAGTAAAAAATGTACAGTCACCAAGCATTGTCACCTCAAAGAACAACTCTAGACTCTTGAATCTCATCTGAAATTTTCAGGATACATTAACAATACATACTCTTAATGAGAATAAATATTGTCACTCCAGTTTTCAATATTGAAAAATACAAATTTTGGAACCTTATTCTAAGGAAATTTAACTCTCTCAACATCTCATGTTAGTTTTTGATACCCCAGAATTAGAGCAAATATATGAAGGTTTTTTGGCTACATTTCACAATAATCGTTCTATCTAACCAGTTTCAAATCTATGTCATAACCTTCTTAGCAGTTTAAGAACATTTAACTAGTTCTAACTTCAGTGACATTTCTTGCTGTCTTGATAAGTAAAATCAAACGATGGACCATGAAATAAGTTGATATGACAAGTTGTAATAGAAATATAAAAGTAAAACTATTAATATTTTCTATTTACTCTGAGTAATCTGTACATACAGTTATCAGTCAATTATAATTTATTTTTATAATTTGAGTACTATGTCATCAACCAGTAAGTGATGTCATACACTAATTTTCATACCTTTAATTGCACTAACCTAGTTGACATAAACATAATAATTGCAAAAAGTGTTTAAAAACAGAAAAATTACCTAAAACAAAAACAAACTTTAATGACAGTAACCTGCAATTTCAATTTAATGGGATGGCCTGAAAGTAGATCAGTTCTCTGCTGTCATAAGAAAGTTAGGCAAAGTTGAAACACCTTATAATTCCCTTAACATATAGCAGTTGCTTTCGTAGAGTAGTAATTGTGTTTCTGGCTCTTCTTAAGTTAGGCTCCTGATAGGTTATTTATGTTCATGAAAACTAAGTATCGCAAGTAGTTTGTGTTAGCAGTAACAACATTTTAACTTCTTGTTGTGAAAATAGAACAATGATACATACCATACGAAGTTAAAGATTTTAGAAATACACACTCTAATCCATTGAAAACAATGGTAGAGTTTTAAGTTTTTATAACCCATTGTTTTACTTTTCTATATATATATATATTTATTTATGACAATTAAGGAAAGTTTCTTTATTTTTTATAAGCATGAGTAAAATAATAGTCCTGAAAATCCTTGCTACTGATAAAACTTGACAATTTTCATATCACCTTGTTACTATACTTGTAACTTAAAAATTGAAGTTTGATTAATCTGTCTTTACAGTATTATTAAATATGGACATTGAATTTTAGACTTTAGCTTTGAACATTAAATTCCTGCTGACAATTAACAACCAATATTTCAGTGAAATCCATAGTTAAGATATGATGTGAAAAGTTTGATAACATTAAGTATTAAATAGGTGTTAAGTTTGAAAATAATAAAATTTAAAAACTTGAAGTGAAAGGTGCTTCAACATTTATAAGTAAGTAAAAGTACTTGTAGTATAATGCTAGCAAAGAATAGCAGGGCATGGATGGGATGTTAAAGTTATAAAATCCTTTTCAGTTTTCAATTGGTTACATGCATAAAAAAACTCAGCTGTGTAAAATGAAAGTTGAGAGAAATATGTATGGAAGGTTGAAAACAATAAACAGTGACTATAACTTGTACTTTTCAGTTATCTTTTCATCATTATTATCTTTAGTAATTTGTAATTAAAACTTTACTGTTTGGAAAAGGTTTTAGATTGTTTGTCATTTTAGTAAAAGTAGATAGATTTATTATTATATTTCAATGTTGAAATGCTACTACACATGAATGACCTGTTCATTTAATTTTATGTATGGTAATAGGGTTAATAATGACAATTCTTTTGATATAATTAGTATTTTACCATTATTTTCAAACTGACAGGATTAACTCCTTTTATATTAGTTCACTGATATGTAGAGTCCTATATTCATTATAGTGAGACATGTTTCAAGGTACTGTATTTGTAAACTCAATAGCTTACTTAAATGAGTATTATTTCTTGGCACTTGTGTATAATTTTAAAATAATAAATAACACAAATGTTAAAATAGGTACACTAGTAAAAACATTTTAATTAAAGGTCAATATATGACGGATAAAAAGTTGACTCTACAGGTTTCAACATTGCAACGTTATCTTTAAGAGTGAGTTGCAAGACATAATCGTGTCTTATTTATAGTTTTTTTTTTTATTAAATAGATCGTGATGATCTATGTACAGGTTTACAATTCCCGCATGAAATAATTAGAGAAGGTCACCCTACATGTTTGCATAAATATTTGTTGGACCTTCATCTCTAGTTACTAATCCTTGATTTTTTTTTATATTTAATTATTTCCAAGGACTTAAGAGTATTATTGGCTATAATACCTTTTCATTGAGCCAATAATCAAGTTTTCCCCACAATATTGTATGTTGTGTTTCATGTACATGTTCTGCTGTTGCTGAATTTTCAGTTTTTTAATTTCTTACATATCCTTTATGCTCCGATGAACGATATTTTAAATTACATTTAGTCTGTTTAATATATATATATTTCCACATTCACATTCAATTTTATAGATTCTTGTTTTTTACATTAACTGTATGTTATCTTTAGTATAACCTAAAATTTCCTTTATCTTATTAAATGGTTTAAATATAGGATAAAATATTTGTTGTTTTCTAAATACTTTCTATAGTTAGACCTATTAGTTAGACCTGGCATAATTATAGCTTCCTTTTTAATTTTTTCATAGTTGTTTTTTATAGAAACACTTTGATTAGTTGTTATCACATTAGTGAATTTCTTGACAGATCTGTTTACAATATTTTGAGTTAACTCCTCTTTCAGCTGCTATACATTTCATTAGCAATAATAATTTTTTAAATCTTCTTGTTTAGTACATATCTTCAAAATTCTGTGAACATAAGTGTAAAATGCAGATATTTTTTGTGATCTAATGTGACATAATTCATGGTGTGGAGGCATAAGAACAGAAAAGGGTTTTCAATAAATAGATTTCTAGATTACCTTGTAAATTCCTTTTTACTAATATACATCCAGAAAAGACAAGCTATTATTTTTCTCAATTTTATAAGTAAATTGTAGAGATGGTTCTATGCTATTTAGTAGCACATAAACTCAATTAATGCCTATCACCTTATCTCCACACCAGGAATATGTTATCTCCTTATCTTATCCAAATATGATGTTTACATTTTGCATCATTTATGGCTTTAGTTTCAAAGACATCCATATACAAGTCACCTAACAATGGTGAAAATGAAATCCCATTGTTAACCCTTCACTTTGTTTATAAACATTATTGTTAACTTCAAAAAATGGATTTTAACACATACCTTATGTACATGTGATAATGTACATGAAACACAACATACGGTATTGTGGGAAAAATCTGTAATATTGGCTCAACCAAAAGGTATTATAGCCAATAATGTTCTAGAATCCTTGGAAATAATTAAATATAAAAAAGATCATGAATTATTAACTACAGATGAAGGTCCAGCGAATATGTATGCAAAAAATATGGGGTGACCTTCTAAGAAGTTCATTCAGAAATTGTAAATCTGTACATAAGTCACATGATCTAATTAACAACAACAACAAAAAAAAGTACAAATAAGACCATTTATGTCTTGCAACTCACTCCTGAAGATGATGTTGCAATGTTGAAACATGTAGTCAACATTTTAGTGGTCATAGATTGGTCTTAATTAAAATGTTTTTAATTGTGTACCTATTTTAACATTGTGTTATTCATTATTTTAGCATATTTAAAGTCAAACATTAAAAATTATTTACATTTCTTTGATACATGTAACAATATACTGAAAAGATATTTCAATGTTTGTGCATAAAATAAATGTACAAGTTTCCGTTTCTGAATACAAATTCATTCAAGTAACTGAAAAGTTTTATTATTGCAAGGTACTTCAAGCACTACTTACAGTAAATTACCTTTTGATTATCCAATAAAATAGTTTAAAATCTCATCTTTTAGTCAGGAGGTTAGTTTATATTATTGTAAAACAAATATTGTAATGTTTAAAATATTTTGAAATTTAAATTTCAGTAGTATCATATGGAAAATCTAAAGTAATAAAGTTCACTATAAAATAATTCTTTGTATAATGGATACAAACATTTAAAACAAACAAATCAATTTTTAGGAAAGAAATGTTTGTGGCTAATTGTAGTAAACATTAAAATACTTTTATTACAAATGCAATAGACACTATTTGACTAGAATCGTTTTTTGGAACTCGTATGCTTTAATTGTGGAAGTGGACTCTTTATTGTGCTTTTCATTGTTTTTACCCTAAAAACATTTATAAAAGGAATAATTTTTTTGCACATGTGATAACATAGGTTTTTAGTTAGTGATGCAAGAAATACACCTCATATATTTTTGTAAGTTCTGACAAATATGAATTTCATTTTCAGCTAAGCTACAAAAAATGGAAATTCCCCAAAAGATTAAGTTGTGTTTCGAACAGTGGTCTCCAGATTCAGGGCTTGTGACAGCTACTTACAAACTCCGTAGGAAGGCTGTACAAGATTATTACAGGGATGAGCTTGCCGACCTCTACAGCTAAAAATGGAAGGTGTTAATGTTTTAGATTTTATGTTAGAAATTCTTAAAATCAGAGATTAAAAACTGATCTAATGATTGTACTCAGACCAGTGTAGATGTTCTTAAAATGTTTATCAAGCTACAATGTTACAGCAAATGTAACAGCATTTATGTTACTAATATTTCTTAAAATATGTTAGTTTACTAATTGAATTTTTCAGTAGTTTAGGAACATTTTCAAAACTAGAAAGTAATTATGGGATTAAAACATACTGAAGATGCTCAAGGTATTAGCTTGAGTATATATTATTGTCTTTTATGTTATGTAGCACAAGTAAGCTTTCTCATTGTTAAATTACTAACAAAACACAAGCTTTTGCATTCTGTGAGATTCTTAAATTGTTGTGTTGTTTGTTTTTCAAAGTGTGTAGTACAAAAAGTAAAAAAAAACACACGAAAAATACTACCAGGAAGTGGTTTTTGATATGACTTTGACAGAACTATAGTAACATTTACCTTATTTCAAGCAGAAAATACAATTCTTGTGTTGAAGAAATAATACATTGTGTAAAAGATTAATCCACATTGTGAATAAATGTATTTCTATTAACTTTCTAAACATAAATTACAAAATTTCAATCTTACAATACAGATCTGATAATAAAAACATTGATTATTTGTACAATTTTTATTAATGAACTCGGAAAGCTTGTTTTCAGTTCAGTTTATCAGGAAAGTGAATGATTTTTAATTCCTGAAAATTGTCAGAAGTAGGGAAAAGGCTGTGTGTACTAAATCTTTTAAGTCATAGCTTTCATAAGATAAGGTTGAGAATTGGAACATCTCACATAATGTTTTATCAAACGTGACACAAAATGCTAATTTGTTTTTCCCCCCATTTTCTTTCTAGAATATGTGGTGGTAATAAACTTTTGAAGAATATATGGAATGCTACATTATTATATTCAACCATTTAAGGTTTTTCTTGAATATGAGAGACCATCCAAAGAAGTGGTTATAACCTTCACATATTGCACACAGAAGATTTTTAGGTTATAAAAATATCTTCTTCTCCCATTCAGTGAAACAAGTTTATTGCTAGTGTAATAGCCAACATTACTAAAAGGTGTTATTGAGGTTCACAGTACAATTTTCTGAGAATTTCAAACTAATTGGAAATATTATACTCTGTTTTGAATATGAATGTGATTGGATTGGTGTTGATTAAAGAGGAATGGTTTTGGTATATAAATTATGCATAGAAAAATTTGATTAAAAATTTCCATTCATTTTGTTCAGTTTTAAGTTAGCCAGAAACATTTTGTTTTTAGTTATTTTGTTGTTTCAGCTTTAACATATAACAAAACTCATGCTATTTGTTGTTAAGCTACATCAAAATTATATTGTAATCGTCGTAGCTGATGTATAACAGTTCTTAATTAATTGGAATTTCAAAATTTTAGTTTTAATTTGTTGATTTTTTTTGTTGTTGTATCCAGAGAAAGCCTGATTATAATGATCCTGAAACAGGATCTGAAATCTTTTGTTTTAATATGTACAAGTATGATTAAACTTCTGACATATATATATAAGGTCAAAGATAGTGAAAAAGTAGCATTAGAAAAATGTTTCTTTGTTGTAAGTTACTTTGATATGGCCTAATGTTTTATGAGATAGTTTTGCTAACTTGTGTCAATATTTTGTGGTTTTAGATGCATGTTGTTTAAGGTAATTTCAGAACTTCAATTTTTTCAAAGCTCGATGAAATTCTGTTGCCTTTTTGCAGATAAAATTCATAGATTATAGATCAGACGTATTGAAACCAATATTTCGAAGGTTTTGTTTTTAACAGTTTTATAATTGTTTTGATTAATATATTAAGTTGATGAAATTCTATATAGCATTTTGATTATCTCATTAGTTGAAATATTAGCATACCAGTCAGCTCATTTTTTGTAATATTAGCTTATCAGTTAGCTCATTGGTTGTAATAGTAACTTATTTAGCTCTGAAATATTTGATTTGCTGTGATAGGAACCTGAAGAGAAGAAAAGTGAAATAATAAGCAGTATAAAAGCATATATCTTGTTAGATTATTTATTTCAAGCTTATATATATAAAATGCTCAAAATTTATTGGTGTTTGAAATGAGGTATCTGAATATCACTGTATGATACTAATGATTAAGTTTACAGGTGTATGTGTCTGCATAAAATCTTCACTGGATGTAAGAAAAATGAAAAATTATTTATTGCTTTATAAATCTACAGGCTAGTTTATATTTTGGCAGCTTTGTCTTCTTAGAGAAAACAAGTTGAAGTTGATGAATTTTGGGTGACAGCTGAAATATGGTGGATTTTTTACATTTCAAACATCCCGATTTATACAGTTTTTAATGCAAGCTCGTAAGATGAAAAATTTCTAATTTAACTTTATTGAAGGCCCAACTATTCTAGTATTTCATGTTCTTAAAAAAAATTATTTTAACTTTGCTGAATTTGCAATTTATTATTTTTGCATTGCTATTAAATTGCTCTTATAACTATACTCGTGGATTAATGTATTGTAGTCCATTGGTAATATTTTCTGTTATAAGTAATTTCATTTAATTCTGACACTGAGTATAAACTTAGACCCTCAATTGTTTCATTGCAATAGGCAGTTAGTATTGTATATATTTTTTTTTTAACTTGTTCACCAGTCTTCATCTTCATTTATAGTTAGTCATTGAAATGTAATGTAAATTCTGCCAGTGTGGTGTTGGAATTTCTTATTAAAGCATCTGTGGACAGCTATGTGTAAACAGATTTTACATATTTCTCTGGCTGATTTAAGCATAATTGAAATGTTGATTTAATGTGTACAATTTTAAAAATATATTATATAGAAATGCTTTTATAGTTAAAATTCAGAGTTTATATAATTGAAGGTGTCAGAAATGTCTTGTACATAAATTAAAAAAAAATGCTACATCTCTTAAAAATGTTTCAGGCAAATTTTTCTAGTCACAATATAGTGTTTAAGAAGAAACTGTAGAATTTTATAAAAATATTTAACAAATTTCATTTAAATATTTTTGAGAAATATTTCCTCTGGATGAAATCAGAAGTGTTTAAACAAAAACAAAAAAACATTAGAACTTGTATATAAACATTGGAAAAATTTAGTAGTTAAAGTGAATAGTGTTTGTAGTTTTGTTTAAACTTTGGCAATGCTGAAACAAGCGAGGGTGTGTTTTTACTTACAAGTATATATATGTCACTTTGCAAATTGACTTTCTAGTTAGAAATTTAATCCTAGCTGTAATGAAGCTAACCTAGGCCTAGTTGTGTTTTATGAAAGTTCTTAAAACTTTCCCAATAAAATATTTACAATGATAATTAGTAATCTTCAGTGTTATTCAAACCATGATGATGAGCATTTTAATATATTTCAAATAGAATGCTCAAGAAGTTGTGAAAGTGGACATTGTTATCTACACCAGAGCAGAGAGAGAACTCTATGTGTATTGTAATCTTAAGTTATCTTTTATTATTAAAAAAAACGATATTTTTTTTAATAAATACAAATTACAAAGTTGTGTAGCTGAAATGATATCTAGGAACTTTTAAAGAGTTTATGAAATTTAAGTGAAAAACAAAACTTTATTCCTCACTGATCTTTTGAGGAAACTAAGCTTATAGAACTTGGAATGCTTACAAATGTTTGTGCTGCTCTTATTTTTGTTGTTCTCCCTCGTGTTATTCCTGTAGGTTGACAGGCTCCCTTGATGACAGTTTTCTGTATAACACTGATTAGCTATAAAATTACACTAAAGTTAATTAAAAAAACATACAAGTATGAAAAAAAAATCATCCTTATGCATAATTCTTCTTGTATTTGAGATGATGGTTGGTAGGAAAAATGTATTTGAAAGATATGTTTGGTAGTGAAAAGATTTATATATTTTCATTCAAGAGTTTTTGCCATATGGAAAGTTATCTTAGTTGTGCTGATCTACTAATGATATGTTTCATATAATTTACAAAGCTTTTGAATTGCACAAAAAAAGCCAATTTTTTACGATGAAGAAATTTTGCTACACATTTTTGTACATTTTGCTCTTATGTTACATGAATGTGGATTGTATTTAACTGTAGAGCAATGACTCAATTTACAGACTGTTCTACTTTTTTTTTTGTCTGAAGAAGAATGCAGCTTTGTATGATTAGAATAAAAAAAGTTCTAAATTTCTTTGCTATGTCTCCCCAAAATACCTTTTATAAGGATATTTTGAGTTTCTGGTAATGACGAAGTATTTAGATATTTTTAGGGTACAAATGAAATATCCAGTTGTATATTTTGTCAAGCTCAGTTTAATTTTTTAAATATTTGAGTACTCTTTACACTTAGTTAGTGTTAATTTTTGACAGTGCTTGAGAATTATATGTCATTTTGAAAATAAAACAACTTTTTTATATATTTTTTATAAGAACTATATATAGTTTGTAAAACACACACCTGATTAAGATGCAGCTTATGTGAGAAAATGTTATTGAATATTGAACTATTGGTTGAAAGTGAATAAAACTCCCATATCTAGGTATGATATAATTAAAAGTAATGTGTATTAAGTCTAATGTTGCGTAGTTGTTGTGTTAAACATGTAGTAACTGTATGTTGAAGTCCATCCTTTATGACTTTTTTTGTTGTTTTGTTTTTGTAAGCTAAACTTGTCAAACTGAAGGATGTGCCTTTTGTCAACTACAAATGTTGGCTTACCTGACAGTGGAATTTGTCTCAAATGAAAATTATATGTATATATAAATCAGTTTAGTAGAATGTTGTTTTCATGCATTGTAATATCTGTGGTATAATTAATCTTTGAAAATTAAAGGTAGTGGATTTTGTTTTTACTACCTCATGTTCTGTTCTTGTAGGCAGCACTATGGTTTCCTTTGTGACTTAATGCTGTGTAAGGTTGCATTTGTTATTGTAAAGAGATTAACGCAAATTTTTGTTGATGTAGTGAAGATAGGTGCATTCGTTAAAGAAATAAAATTTTGTATTAAAATCCATTAATGTTTTACAAGTGCTTTATTTAAAGCCTCTAATAGCAGAGAACAGGTGTGAAGTGAAACAAATCTTTCATTTCTTCCCATTCATATATAATATATTATTTCCAAGAACTTTAGTGCTCTTTCAAAGTAAGTGCTGATTTAGTATGACATATAATACCTTGATTCAAGACTTGTTATAGATCAAGTAATTAACTGTGTACAAGTGACTTTTCATATGTGGTAAGAAATGTATATTCTGCAAGTCCACTGACAACAATAAAACTTTTTTTTCAAATTGAAAGTTATTTATTGTTAACAACTGAGTTCTTATTTTAAGGTTTTGGACTAGTATATTCTTAGTTTTAGTAAAGTAAGATTCAGGCTGTATTTCTCATTGCTTGTATTTTTTTTCTCTTTTTACATAACTGTTCTTTTGTAGGTCTGAATGATCCCCCCCCCCTCGAGGTGGATTCCTGTACATGGTGAGGTGACCTCCCAAGGAAGGTTCTGTATCTTCAGGTTATCTCTTCTGGGATCCAAACATCCGCCCATGTGAAAGGGAGGAAAGAATATTGGTGATTGAGGTGTGCCACTGATATAAACTGACCCATCAATGACACACCTCAATCACCAAGATTCTTTCCCTTTGGCCTGGCCTTGAATTCCTGTAGATGGGTGACCTTTGGGTGGCTCTGGCAGGGTCAGTCAGCTGGTCCTGTTGGGCTAGGATCAACTAAGTACCAGTGTTGGACGTTCCCAATGGGTGTTGTGGACATTGTGTCTGATACTGGTGTCTGGGTATAGTGCCCACGAAACCCTGGCATCTCTATGATGCTCTGTTTTAGCATTGCAGTGCATCCCCTTGAAGGACTCTATGGTGGGTGGGGTCAGCGGGCACTGAAGTTCCTCCATTTTTATGGATCATGAACCCAGTGACCCAAAAAGCAACACAAAAAACTCATTGATAGGAAAGTGAAGACGTTTGGAACAGCAATCACCACCCCATTCTGTAACTGTACCTTGTTCCTTAATTCTGCATTCTTTGGCTGACAAACCTTTAGGGCAAATGTCTCCCTTTTTGTCATTCAGAAGGGATAAGAGAGGCTTGCTGGCTCTCTGAAGTCAGTTAAGAAGCTACGTTCTGGGGACAACTTGGTGGAAACATCTGTATCAAAACACCGTGAACTCCTCCTGAAATCAAAGGTCATTGGGGATATACCTATTGAGGTTACTTCCCATGCTACTTTGAATTCCTCATGAGGAGCTTTCGTTGAGAGATATTTAAGAAACACCACAAGTCAGAGATACTCACTGGTTTCTTCAGCCAAGGAGTTTCTGTTGTGCAACATATCTCCACTTGTAAAGAAGAATTATGTTCTTGTATTGATGTTTACATTGCTACGTCTGCCTACCATTGTCAAGGCAGGTTATCTGAACTGTAAGGTACAGCCTTATATTCCTAACCATCTCAGACATTCTAAGGCATCTTATCATGGTTCTTTCTGCCTTCCAGCAAGCACAAAAGGCTCGGAAACGGGCCTGGGATACCTGCAAAAGGTATCCCACTCTTTCGAACCATGTTGCTTTCCAGTGGGCTCGTGCCCATGCTCAGCAAATCAAAGTCAGTAGGAACCTTGGATTAAGTTCACCACCAGCATCTCTTCTATCACCAGTTCCACAGTCGTCTGGGACAAGATTCGGAAAGTCAATGAGAAGTTGCTGACACACAGAACATCACCAATACTCTCAAGGAGACCTTTTCTTATCTTTTCAACTCTCCTTCTTGGGCCGAGAGATTGCCCCTTTCATTTCGGACAGATAACTATGATTATAATCACCCATTTACACTGGTGGAACATAAACTTGCTCTTCATCAGTCTGGCAGTACATCAGTCAGACCTGATGACGTTCACTATGAGATTCTTTGCCATTTCTCTCCTGCCTCTCTTGCTCTTTTTCTGGTTGTTTTTAACTAGATATGGCAAGATAATTTTTTCCAGGTATTTTGTGCAAGACTATTGTTCTTCCTTTTTCAAAGCCTGGGAAGGATCCCAAAATTCCTTCTAATTATCGTCCAATAGTTTTGATTAGCTCTCTTTGTAGGGTTTGGAGAGGATGGTTAATGTTTGTCTAATTTGGTTCCTTGAATCAAACAATCTCCTCTCACCCACCCAATGTGGTTTTTGTCAACAGTGCTCCATCTTGGACCACCTGATTCATCTTGAAAACTCGATCAGGGAAGCCTTCCTCAAGAGAGAGCATATTGTCTCTGTCTTCTTTGATCTTGAGAAGGCTTATAACACTACATGGAGGTTTGACATTTTGTGAGACCTCCATTCATATGGGTTGTGTGGCTATTTACAAGTTATTATTCGTAACTTTTTATGTGACAGACAATTCAAAGTCCGTGTGCGTTCAACTCTTTCCTGATCCTTCACACAGGAACTTGGAGTCTCTCAGAGTTGTCTTGAGTGTCACCCTTTTCAGTATCAAGATCAATGATATCATTAAACAACTTCTTCCTACTGTTGCAAATGGTCTCTATGTCAATGACTCCCACATTTCTTGCCAGCCATCGAACACGCAGTGTATTGAGTGGCAGCGGCAGACTTTTCTTGCTTGTTAGGGTGGACCACAGCAAATGGTTTTGCTTTCTCTTCTTCGAAAACCATTTGTGTTCATTTTGGCCACCAGTGGGGTTTACACCCCAATCCTGAGCCCCGTCTCAGTGGTGTTGCTCTTCTTGGAGCTTATCTTCGACTGTAAACTTTTATTTCTAACATCAAGCTGCTTCAAGCCAGGTGTACAAGGCCACTGAACATCCTCCCTCTTCTCTCTTCTACCTCCTGGGAAGTGGATTGATGTTCTATGTTGATCTATTGTGACCTCATATGATCTAAGTTGGACTATGGGTCTATGGTTTACGAATCTGCCAGACCCTCTGCCTTGAAGATGTTGGACCTTGTTCATCATGTGGGACTTTCTGCACTTTGCCAGTCCAGAGTTTGTACAGTGCGTCCCACGAACATCCTCTTCACCTCTGATGTTTACAACATTCTATACAATATGATACCAAGCTTCGATCGTTACCACAGTATCCCACCTGGGGTTGTCTTTCTTCCTTTGTGGGCTGTGCTTTTTCGGAATAGACAGTCCGTCATTCCTCCTTTTGGCCTAAGCATCCAGTCACAGCTGGCTGAATTGGGTCTATCATTGGATGATGTTGCCAAGTCCGATGATCAGCTCATCCCGCCCATAGCTCATTACCATCCCCCCTGTGACCATTTTTTAAGTCATCTGAGGAAGGCGGATTCTCTCGATTGGAAGTACGTCTTTTTTGCTGAACATCTTTCTTATCAATCTTCTGTTCCCCTTTTTACGGATGGTTCGAAATCAAGTAACTCTGTGGGTGTACCATGTTTTTTGTGGCTCGGTGGTTGCTCGCAGGATCCCCTCTACAGTTTCTGTGTTCAGTGCAAAGTTGTATGCCATTTCTCTTGCTCTGGATCATATAGAAGTTAAGCAGTACACTAACTACTATTTATACGGACTCTTAGCTTTCTTTTGGGCTTGGAATTGCTTAACGTCAGTTCTCACTCTGTTCTCTTAGATTTTCAGGAACAACTGGCCCAGTTTTCTCTGTCATCCGTTTCTATTCAGTTTTTCTGGGTGCCTGGCCATGTCGTGAGCGTGCTGACACCAGCTAATTCTGTCTGCTCTGGTGCTGTCAAGCTGTGCCTGTCCCGTATATGGACTTTGGTCCTATGATCAAGGCCCGGCTTCGCGCCAGTTGGCAGTCAATTTGGGTTGAGCAACTTCGCAAGAAGCTTTTCCAGATGAAATCTACTGTTCTTGTTTGGCCGTCTAATTTCCTTAAGGATCGGGTGGAGGAAGTGGTCTTATGTAAGCTACGCATTGGTCACAGCTTTTTTTACTTACCGTTTTCTTTAATATGAGACTGATCCGCCAATATGTGGTCTCTATGACACTGAAATCACAATTGCTCGCGTTTTACTTTCATGCTGTCGTTTCGAGTGTGAGCGGTGGCACGATTTTAGACGTGTCTTTTCTAAGGGTATTACCCCTGACGTTGGACGGTGTCATTGGCGATGGTTGCACTGTCCAGCTTGATTGTGTTTTTAGTTTTTTACGGGACATTGGTATTTCTAAAATCTATTTGAGTTTTTTTGGACACTGTTTTTATACAGGTTGTTTGGCGCAGATAGCCGCTTTGCTTTGCACCAATAAACTCCATACACCAACCAACCAACCTGAATGATCCAGTTTGACAGATAAGAAGACTAAGGAACATTTTAAATAAATGAAACGGCACTTGTGCATAGGTAAAATATTAAAAAAATATACAACGTTTAATATTTGAATAGTAAATAAGCTTTATTAAAAACAGGACACAGGCCTAAAAAAGACGATGTTTTGATGGCATTCTACGTCACCATAATCAGAAGTAACAATTTAAGTCTGGTATTGACTTTCATATCTACATCACCTACAACTAACACAATCTTGCATTAAACCTTTAACGCCATTTTGACTTTGAACACAACCAAAGGACTTTCAAAGCAGATTGGAATATTTCATTTCTTCCACACAGAAACCACCATCTTTATTCATAATAATAATAATATATTTATTAATTTCTAATGATTCTGTAATATTTAATTCATCTAAACTCAACATCTATTTAACATGTTTCTCAATTTGTAACGTGAGATGTAATTGCTACATCTGCTGAAGTCACTTCATTCACCTTTATATATTTCTACAACATTTTTATGCTCTTTAATTCTGAATTTCAGGTTTCTACGCTTCTGGTTAATATAAACTCAACGACAGAATTAAGGAATTCAATTATAATATGAGAGAAGTGTGTGTGTTTTAATTCTAATTCCTCTTAGGGTTTTGCATTTGGACCTGTCAAATGTGGTTTAATTAACTAGGAAAGTTAAAATTCTACCTTTCATCCTTATTTAAGATCAAGTTGTTTAGCTAAACATGTAAATTATACTGGACATAGCATCCAGTGAGAAAAAAAAAATGTTATTTTAGCCCAACCGAATAATACGACTGCTAGAAATATTAGAAAAAAAAAACATTGAAAAAAAACAACTTGATTTTAAATAAGGATGAAGGATTAGAAAAGCGGAAAGTATGTAGATAGTGTGATCTTTTTTTGAATTGTAAACTAGTGTCACATGACCATGGCTTTCGTACTTATGTAACAAACAGTAATTTTTTCACATTCCTGAAGTTAACTTGAAACCACGTTGAAA